AAAAAAAAAAAAAAAAAAAAAATAGAACTCGCATGTGTGAATTTGATCTCTGAATAGACGATCGAGATATCGAAGATTTGTAAGATCGATCGATACAGAATTTCGACCGTTTTCGTTTCTTCTTCGAAAAGAGAAGCAAACTCGAATTTAATCGATTCTTTCGCGCTTGGATACGTTGAAAGAAACGTTGCGAACGAGAAAGATGATAATTAGGATTTCGAAATGACAAAAAAAATCAGCAAACACGAGGAAAACGTTACGATATTATGGAAAAGGGAAAAATTAGACGAAAATCGAAAGAGAGAACGACGCAGAGAGTCGTGACAGTGAAAGTTTTGAATCACATTCCGACAGAGAGAAGTTATTAATAATTCTGGTTGGGATGATTCGATAATCGAGCGTTATCAGCGAAAGAACCGATCCGTTAATTGAATTCTTTTTTTTTTTTTTAGAGAGGAGAGGAGAGCGTTATAAATACGTTACCCGATTCGATATGGAAACTGGCAGACTCTAATCGAGTCTAAACTGGTTGGAAGAGATTCTCGAACGTACCTGGAACAAAAAGAGAAAAACGATCGAGATTATTAACTTGATTCGGTAACGAGACTTTGAAGCATCGAAAGACTTTTATCGAGGCTACTTTTATTAAAATTGCCATTCCAAGAGTTTCGTTATTATATCGAGATATATCGTTTTATCGTGTGTGCCGATTACTTCATCCGATCGGAACGCGAAAATGATTCATTTTAGAAAGAGATTAAACAAAAAACGCGTAGAGAAATATCGATCGACCGTTATTATCGTTTTTTTCGGTTTCTTCGCAAATATCATCGGATTGATAAAAAAAAAAAAACAACTTCGCAGTTATAAATCTTATTATAATTTATCAGTTTCATTTCGATAAGTAGATGAATAGAAAAAGTTTGGTTGAAATTATTTTCGTAATAATAAGCGAGTTTCGGAATACTTTGGCAAGGTAGTTTATCGCGCGCGCAGCTCGAAATAAAAGAAAATGAAAGGAAAAGAGGATGAAACGAGATGAAGAATTCCGAGAAAGATCGGCCAGTTTTTTGGTCGGGCAATCTTCACAATGGCGCGACTCGGGATGAAAAACTGTTACACTTGTTCGAAGGTGGATCAACGAACTCATGCCGGGACTAGATTGGACTCGGGAAGACGCGACCAAGAATGTCAAGAAACGACCTTCGCCACCTCCCCTCGACCAAGCCATCTAGCAACGTATAGCGTGACCGGATGGCCACTCGCTTCGCTCCTCACTTCTCGTCGCAATCTTCTCTTTTCTCTAGCATTTAAAATCTTTGCATACGTACGTTACGAGGAGAATCGAAAAGGAAAAAATATTTTTTTCCTCCGATCCGTTGAGAATCGAAGTTAAATCGAAAGGTGTGCATTTGCTCCCTCCGCACAAAAATTCTTGAAATTCTCGA